CTGCCCAAAGGCGCCGGGGATGGCGGCGTAGTCCGCACCCATAGGCGGCCCTGGGCGCCCCAGGGCGCAAGGGGTGCGAAGACGGGGCGGCGGCCCAGATGGGGTACCCTGCTCAGGGCGCAGCCCAGCGGGACTGACAGGTCACTGAGGAAGCCCATTACAGGGAAGGGCTCCGGGACATAATAGCAGGTTAATCCCGAGAAGTCTGGGAGCGAGCTCCCCGCGCGAAGCTGCGCCGCGCTGCGGGCTGGGCTGGAGGCGTGCAGGGACCTGTTTCTGCTGGGAGGGAGGGAGCCAGGCTTAGAAGGAGGAAAGGGACCGGGACACCGAGCCTCTGAGAACCCGCTGCCGGCTCTGGTTGGACCTTGGTTTTCCCTGGAGCAAGAAGAAACTCCTTGCAGCCCTTAAAGAGGACAACAGCCCCCACCTCCACGCGTCTTGCCTAAGGAAGAAATGGGTGGTAACCACTGGTGACCTGTCTCTTTCTCCTTGACTGGGTCTGCTCAGAGGGTTTCCTGGGAAGGGGCAGGATGTTTGCTGGGGGAAAGAGAGCTAAAGGGATGAGCTGCTCTGAGCCAGGGAACGGGAAGCAAGAAGAGGACGCTGGACTCCTTCATCCCTCCCAAGTGACACTTCCCCATGCCCCAGGCTTAACCCTGGCCCCAACTCCTCCTGCCCAGAACTCTTCCCCCATCCGCTGTGGGCAGCCAGTGGGGAGCCAAGCTCCAGTATTGATCTGAAAAGCATGAGGTGGGAAGGGGGATCGCCAACAGTGTAGCTGGGGTTACCATGGAGACAGCAGGAGAGGAAAAAATTCTCTCTGCATCAAGACCAAAGAACAAATATCTCCCATGAAATTGCCCCGAGTGTCCAATGGCTGTTGCTATGAGGTCATTGTGGCCAGCCGGGCCCCTGCAGGCTGGAAGGAGTGTGTTTGTTGGGGTCAGAGCCACCCAGGGCTTTGGGGGACGGAGGTGATGTGGAATTCTCCCAGCTGTTCCGAGAGTGAGCTACTCCAAGACAGCCCAAAGTGGCTGTGGCGCTTTTGTTTTTCTTGGAGCCTTAATTTGATTAACACTTCAGGAGCAGTGGCAGTATGTACAGAAACCAGGGCACCACCACCTCGTCCCTCTGGCCCCCTGCAGACCACCCCCCTCAGTGGAGTCTGGATCAGAGAGCTGAGGAGGGGAGCTGGTTTGGATGTGGGGGCTCTGGAGCTGGCTCTTAAATGCATGGGCTCAGAGCTGAGGTCCCCAAACAGGTCTGAGTATCAGGAAGAATAAGAACTGGGTTCGACCTGCCCGGCACGGAGGGAAGCAAAAAAGCAGAGGACAAAAGTGGCAATTTGAGTGCGTGACCCAGGCCTTCAGGGAACACGGGGATATTGGCAGTGGAAAGACAGGCCTGTAGAGCATTGTGGCCTTTTGGCTCCCTTTACAGATGAGGAAACTGAGACCAGGGAGCAGAAGTTACTTGCCAAACTCAAGTTGAGAATGGAACCCAGGCACTCAGACTCCCAGCCCCTCCCATGAGACTGTCCCAAACTGAGCCAGTGTGGCCCAGGTGATATTACCACCCACCTTCAGCCACATCCACGCCCAGGATCTCAGGCAGAGACACAGCCCTGGCTTTAGGTCACACAAACCCCTGGGGAATTCCAGCTCCCTTCTTGAGCCTGTGCTGCCATGAGGGGTGGGTGAGGAGGGGGGCCTGGAGGGAGAAGGGAGTTGGCAAACCTGTTCTCGGTGACTGTGATGGTTCAGGTTGCCATGCAGCAGGCTCTGGGTGTCCCAGCTCGCTCTTGCTCCACCAGGGCTCCGAGCCAAGGGTCTCTCTGTTCAGCCCAAGGTGAGAGGAAGAGGGCCTTCCCAGGACCCTGTGGAACCGGGGGTTCTGAAGGAGAAGAGACCCAGGGCCCTGTCCCCCCAAGCCAGTGTCACTACCTAATGTTTATCACCTCCGTCCCCAGGCCAGAGACTGGACCAGCCCTGGGGAAAATAGATGTCACAGCCAGGCTTCCTAGGAGCTTGGGGTCCAAATAGAAGGACACATAAAACAAAGCCACAAATGGGTGGGACAGTGCATGCCACATGGCTGTCGGGGGAGAGAAATGAACAGGAGTGATCAACGGGGGAGTGGGGGGACACACCACTTGGCCTGCAGGCCGTGGGATCCTGACAGCAATTCCAGGATAATAACTCCCTAGTCCAGAGTATATTCAAATCCCAATTTACAGATGAGAACGGTTGGGATCCCAGAGGTAGTGCTCCAAAGCCACCTAGCTGGTAAGTGCAGAGGTGTCTGGCCCGGAGCTGCCTCTAGGAGAAAAAGCTGCGGTCAGGCAGCTGTCCATTCAGCCAGGTGGTGACACTATCTTTTCAAGGGTGAGCCAAGCTAGAGGCCTGACCCCGAAAGGATGGCTGGCAGCACCCACCAAGGGATGAGACCTGGGTGTCCCCTCCCGTCCCAGCAGAGACATCCATCCAGGGATGGTCAACTGGCCAGTAGCAGAGCTGGTACTGCCTGTTGTCTCAGAAGGGCAGGTGGCCCGGGGTGGGGGGAGGCCAGGTGTCCTGCTGTGTGCAGCTGTTGGGCAGGACAGAGCCTGGAGCTGGGAGGACTCTGCAGCCTGAGGCCTGGGCAAGCCCAGAGAAGCTGGGAGCTGCCGACTGGGCTTGCATCTGGCACCCAAAGCAGGCTGACAGCTTGTGGCAGCTCCTGCTCAGAGGGAGGGATGTGCACAGTCCTCTGCCTTCAAGGGGGCTGCCCTACCGTGGTCCTAGGGTCAGAAATGATTCTGAATGGTCCCCCTGGCCCTGAGACTTCACCAGGAGACAGGTGCCAGTCCCAGCTCTGTGCCAAGTGCTGGGCGGCCTTGGTGGGCCTCTTTTCTTCCCTCTGGGCCACTGTCCTCTGCAGCTTATTCTCAAACCCAAATGGAAGAACTGGCAAGAGCAAGGGAATAGATAAGCCAAGGCTTCATCACTGTGGGTTTCTGGGGGAGGTCAGTGGTGTGCTGGGCAGGAGCCCTACCAGGAACCCAGCAGGCCAGGGCAAGGAGTCCCTGCTGTACTCAAAGATGGGCCAGCAGAGTGGCCAAGTAAGTCTTGGGGACAGATACCTGAAGTTCCACCCCAGCTCTGCTACGGCCCAGTCCAGTGACTTAGACAGGTTACTTAACATCTTGGAGCCTCCGGTGCCGCATCTGTAAAATGGTACCCATTGGTGCAGATGGGACATACACAGTGGTGTTGGGAGGAAAGAGCGAGCCCGTGCATGTATTGTGCTGGGCACAGTGCCAGCACACCAAGAGAAATGGTAGCCACGGGGGCTGGTGTCAGTGGGCTAGAGTCCTGTCTATGGGAGGATGGAGGGAGTGGCCTTCAGGTTGCCCTCAAGCCCAGTTTGTCCCAAACTCTCCCATCCCGAGCCCATGATTGTACACAAATAGGAAACTAGACTGCCACCCGCTCCTCCTCAACAAGGGTCTCCACTGGAGCCTCAGAGAGCCAGGGAGACCCCGCCTGGCTCAGAGGCAATCCTGCTGGCCAGGGGGACTGGTGCTGGAAACACCCTTCAGTGCCCATGGGGGAGGCGGAGGAGGCCCCACCTGCCCTGCTGGTCCAGGTCCCACAGGAGTGTGTCTCAAGGCTGATCTCCTAGGTGCCTGCTTGCCCAGGGAGGATGTGTGACTCTTGGCATGGCAGAGTGAGGCCCAGCTCTCAGGTCGCGCCTCCCCAGTCCAGGTGTGGGGGAAAGCCAGCCCCACAGGAAAGATGTAGCCTATCTCCTCCAGGAATATCTCATGGTTCCCGGCTAAAAAGAAGCTCTCCCTTTCCTCTAAAGAGTAAGAGCCCATCTCCTTGGAG